TTCCTATGGGGTCTGCCGCGCTCCTTTGGGGTCTTCCGTGCTCCTTTATGGTCTACCGGGCTCCTGGGCTCCTGTGTGGTCTGCTTTGCTTCTGTGGAGTCTGCCGTGCTCCTGTGTGGTCTGCCGTGCTCCTGTGTGGTCTGCCGTGCTCCTTTTGTAGTTTGCCGTGCTCCTGTGGGGTCTGCCGTGCTCCTGCGTGGTCTGCCGTGCTCCTTTGAGGTTTGCCGTGTTCCTTTGGGGTCTGCCGTGCTCCTTTGGGGTCATCCGTGCTTCTTTTTGGTCTACTGGGCTCCTGTGTGGGCTGCTTTGCTCCTGTGGAGTCTGCCGTGCTCCTGTGCGGTCTGCCGTGCTCCTGTGTGGTCTGCCGTGCTCCTGTTGTTTTCTGCCGTGCTCTTGTGGGGTCTGCCGTGCTCCTGCGTGGTCTGCCGTGCTCCTTTGAACTCTGCCGTGCTCATGTGGGGTCTGCCGTGCTTCTGTGTGGTCTGCCGTTCTCCTGTGAAGTCTGCCATGCTTCTTTTGTGGTCTGGCGTGCTCCTGTGTGGTCTGCCGTGATCATGTGGGATCTGCCGTGCTCCTGTGTGGCCTGCCGTGCTCCTGAGGCGTCTGCCGTGTTCCTGTGGGGTCTGCCGTTCTCCAGTGTGGTCTGCCGTACCCTGGTGGTCTGCCGGTTCTTTTGGGGTCTGCCGTGCTCCGTTGGTGTCTGCTGTGCTCCTTTGGTATCTGCCGTGCTCGTGTGTGGCTTGCCGTGCGTCTGTGTGGTCTGCCGTGTTCCTTGAAGTCTGCGGGGATCCCGTGAGGTCTGCCGTGCTTCTGTGTGCTCTGCAATGCTCCCGTGGTCCTGTGCGGTCTGCCGTGCTCCTGTGTGGTCTGCCGCGTTCCTGTGTGGTCTGCCGTGCTCCTGTGTGGTCTGCCGTGCTCCTGTGTGGTCTGCCGTGCTCCTGTGGTCTGTCGTGCTCCTTTGTGGTCTGCCGTGTTCATGCGGGGTCTGCCGTGCTCCTGTGTGGTCTGCCACCCTGGCTCTAAAAACGCTGTCTTGGGATACTGGACTCTGGCAGCATTCCCGCTTTTTTGGAGGACGACTCGGAAGACAAACATGACAAACCACAGAAACACAGCATACCACCGCAGGACGGCTGCCGCATAATGCTCCTGTGGACTGCCGTGCTCCTGCGGTCTGCCGCGCCCCTGCTGCCTCCCCCGTACGAGGGTGCAAGGAGCGGAAAAAGACGAGACCGCTGGAGAGAAGGAGAAGGAAGGAGCACGGACAGGGATCATTTCCAGAACACCCCGTCCTTCTCCTGGAACGTCAACCGCATCCCGACGTACAGTGGAAGTATGCCTGGCAAGCTTTGAGTGTCTCGGGGCGACGCTCGGCGCAAAAGCTCTTCCCTGACGCGTGGCATTTTGCGATCATCTTTCGAATGCACCGCCTCATCCCTGGCCTGTACGATGAATAGCGGCTTATGCCCACAAGACGTAGCTGCCTTGGCGTTCACGAGCGAGCGATGCACGCGGATCTTGTGGCGATGAACAATGAACTGCCAGTCGTATTTACTGAAAGGAGAACTCCCCTCGGAAAGTCTCTGGTCGTTCCGCTCCATGATGCGATCCAGGTACATCTGCCAACACTCGGAAGAGATACCCTTGCCGTCTCGCATCTCCGCGAGTAACTTGCTGAGCTTACCCGGGGCGCGAATGTTCACGTCAAGGCACACGACGTGCCGCACCCGTTGCCACAACTGAACCCCCTGAGCGGCATCGGCGAGCTTCTTTCGCTTCGCGTCCTGATCCTTTGCGTCGGGGTTCTCATGGGGCCGCGTCCAGGGCGCCAGTCTCCTTCAGAGGAGTCGCTAAACTCTTCTGCGCGTCTCCTGGATCCACGGGGGGCAACTGCAAAAAGTCTCCAGAAAGAATCATACCGAGGCCCCCGAAGGGTTTCCTGTCATCCTTCGCTTCCCTGATGCGGACCTCGGAGGCATGGAGCTGGTCACTGGACACCATAGAGACTTCGTCAATGAAGCACGCGCGAGCTTTCTTCCAGCGTTGTCTGTGCTTCTCCAGCGCAGCAACGCTCAAACGGGCTTTCCGGTCCCTGACAGAAATGTTCCCGAACGGGAGCTTACACACAGCGTGTATGGTGTCGCCGCCGATGAGCCGGGCCGCCGAGTTGGATGGGGCACACTTTCGCACGGATTCGGCTCCCAAAAAATAAGAGACCAATGCCTCCGTAACGCGGGGCACCGCAGTTTTACCGGTGCCGCCAGGGCCCATGAGCGCGAGCTGAAAGCCGTCCGCCAAAGAGGAGCTCGAAGAGCACTGCGATCCGGACGGGTCGCCCAGGGACCATTCCCGATTCATCACGTCTTGCAGCCACAACGCATTCCACAGAAGCGCCCGCGCCTGCGTCACGTTGATACCGCCCACATCAGGGATGTCGAGAACCTTTTGGCTCAACAAGAACAGCGCAGCCTCTACAACAGACGTCGATGACTTACGGGCCAACAAGGGCACCTTGCGCTCAAGTGCTACGGGAATACTCGCCATCGCCGCGTCGATGCGTTGCTGTAGCACATCTGACTTCGTCTTCTCGACTTTCCTGACCATCTCGACATTATCCTCGCCCTCGTTGACGATCTTGAAAAATTTCTGCTGCACGTCAGAGACGATGAGCGACTTTCGTGCTGACAACGAGCACTCTTGGAACGCACCGTCGCCGTCAGCGGCAGCTGTGCGCCCCGAAACGCACTTCTTTTCCTCTTCGATAAAGCCACGGAGATATTTTGCCTCGTTGGATCTGCTTTTCGCCAGAGTATCCGAGTTGACCAGTTCGTTCAAGTCAATCTCAACGGTTCCGCAAAGCTGGCTGACTGGATCTGCTTCGCGACCCGACGCGCGAGGAACTGCCGCATCACTGGGGGCATCGTCCTCCATCGCAGCATCGCCGCGACTCTCGTCCGAATCGGACTCCATCAACATCTCCTCGTCGTCAGCCCTGTTCGGATCGGGGCCATCGATATCGGCAGCGGCGTCGGGATAACCACGGAGAGCGTCCCCTGTCGGCACACGATCAACAACCGATACGTGGCGCTTTGCGACGAGGTCGTAATTCCTCAGGCATTCACACACGCGACAAGCCCACCATTCCTTGCTGAGAGGTGGCGTATCACTACGTGCTCGAGAAGCGATGGACTCCTGAGTGCTGCGCCAATCCTCGAACTCATTCAAAAATGCGCCGTAGTACTCCGCAGGTATGCGCGTCCACGGCGCGGGCGGGGCGCGACGCAGCACGTCCTCCACTGTTCGGAAAGGTCGAAAGAGCAGTTGCACGTACACCGCGTACTTAACCTCGTCTTCTAATCTCTTAGCTTCGTCATCTCCGTCTTTCTTTGCCTCCGGGCACGGAGGGGGAAATCCGCGAAGAACAGGTATCCGCCACGCGATGCTCAAGCGGACGGTCACGTAGTACGCGTACTTGTATAGCTCAGGCCCGAGGGGGTGATGCTCCGAAGGATCTCCGCGCAGAGGCACTTTTTCGTGCTCCCGGCTGTATAGCTTTTCTGCAGAGAACTGACGCTTACCGTCGGCCGCGACGCGCCACGCCAGAGTGTTCACGGGGCGATGTCCGTCAGGGCGAGCTTGCCGAGCTTCGCAAGCCGCGAAGAAAAAGTACAATGGGAAATCCTCCAGCTCGTCGGGGCGGTAGAGGTAATCGTACTCCGTCAGGAACGGCCTTCGGTAGAGTTTCGTAGAGTACGGACGCGCGGCAGTGGAGGGTCCACTCGTCTCTGCACCGGTTGCGACCTCGCTCAACCTTTTCGAGATCAGCATGCTGAGGCCTGGCGTCAAGACGGTAACGAACTCGTGGCTAGAGTACAGGGTCGGCTCCTGAAGTAACTGAGCATCTCTGGAAACCCTTTGTGCATCCTGTTGTTCGTCGCCGACAACAGCCTGTGGAGAATCCGCTTCGCCTTCTCGTGCACGTTCTCAGGCTCGTCGCCGCGGCCAGCAGCCTCCTTCGCGTCTTGCTCTTTCTGATGGAGCGAGACTGCAAGAGTCAGCACGAGTCCCTCCGCGTGCGGCGCGGACTTGCTAGAGTATGACGAACAGTCAAACTCATTCGCCGCCTGCTGCTCTATCATTCCCGCTCTGGCGGTGGCAACCTCTGCCTCATCGGGCACGGCGTCTGGGCTGCTGCTCTTCAGAGCGCGCAACCGCGGGGGCACTTGGATGTCGTGATTGCACTGCGGGCCGAGCATGATCGGGTAGGAAAGCTTGAAGTGCCACTGGTGCGTCGTCTCCAGAGCCGGCAACCCAACGTGTGGATACCCTAGAATCGGCGGAGGCCCAACGCCATCCCATCGAGGATGCAGCTGCAAGCCATGCTGTCGTTTGGCGACGAGGCGCCCCGTCTTCGGGTCCTCCACCTTCACGAGATGCCAATAGAACATGCGGCAAAGACCACGCTTTCCGAGACGCCCCTTGTGACAGACGGACGGCTTGCACACGTGGTTGCCCGTCTTGCGACTCCTTGAAAAAAACTCAACAACAGCGCGGCTGCCCCAGTCGCTACCGGACACGTTCTCGTCGCCGTGATACGAACCCACGAAGAAGGGATACTCAGGCACGCTCCTGGATAGAGCAGGCGGCACGTCGAGTCCGCGCGCCACGGTCTGCGCGAGGTTGCTCTCCTCAACGCGAGCGCTGCCGATCATGCTCCGCTGCTTCAGAGTCACCGGGAACAACGGCAGCCCGGCGGTGGTTCTCATCGCCTTAGGAACGGCGAAATGATGCGCTACGGCTTCCTGGCTGTGAACATGACTGAGGCGTGATAGTAGTAGAGACGCTTAAATTCGTCGAGGAAAGAGTTCTTCTTGAAGATATCGTCGGGATGCGAGAAGCCAAGAATCTGCGCGAGCATGTGTATGTGCAGCGCCTTCCGCATCTGTTCCTCAACAACCCCGAGATAGGAGCGTACGTGCCCGAATGCACCCGGCACCTCGCTCGCCGCGATGCCATCCGGAGGCAGGTTCGAAGGTCCATCGGCGCAGTTGAATATATAGCGCAACACGTCTTTGACGGTCGAGTGGAAAACATGTTGGGCATAGTAAGGGTCTTGCGCCACGCGGCGGTGGAGAAGACGAGGGTGCTCTGCTTGAAATTCTTTCATCCAGTCTTCCGCCTCCTCGTCGCTCATGTCCAGGGAGAATCGCCTCTGCATCTCCGTGCCGTCCTGCACCAGCAGCACCGTTAGCGGACTGCGAATGTCGTGGGGATTCAGCGCAAAGAACAAAGTCGAGCAGCCCGAGTTTATCTGAAGAGCTCGGAAATTCCACCTGTACGAGTCCCGCTCTTCGGCAGATCCACGCACTTTCCGGGGCACGGCCTGCATTTTTTCAGCGGCTGTGCGGACTGGTTGGGTCAACTTTTTATTCCTCAGAAGATCGCTCATGCCCTTCGCATCACCTCCCATCGCGATCGCGGCGGCAACCAAACCTTCCGCTGTGATCTCGTTCACCCTTTGCATCTCATCGGGAGTTATGCCCATGAAGCCGCCGCCGGGCGTCTCCCTCATGCACGCTTCCACCTTGCTCATTTGATCTCGACGCATAAAGATGTTGACCACGGATGCGACGAACTCCAGGTCCTTCCGCCAGTAATCACAATCTGCTCGTTTAAGTAAGCACTGGATCCACTTATTGGAAGACAAGAGCGATACGGTACTATCCCCCGCTTTACGTTCTGGGCATGTTTCCTGGCAGTCTCCCCGAGGAGGCAGCCGAACGAAGCAGGGCGCCCAAAAGTTCGGCGTGCGAGCAGACAAGAACGTGGTCTCGTGCGTGATCTTCAAGGGCGCCCTGTCGTCGGTCTCCGACCGCGCCCACTCTTCCAAACGTTTTCGCATCTTCTCATTCGACAGCTTCTCCAGGTCTTCGATGGCCTGGGCCATGCTCACACCGTGCATTCTCTTCTTCTCGGCGCGAGCAGATAAGTCGGCGGGGTCTAGAGCTGCCAATTCCTCTTTAAACCGCTGTGCCGCCTTGAAGTTTTTGATGACCTGTGTCCACAGCTGGAGGGAGTCGACGTCTGCTAAGCCGCCGTTAACGACGGCGGCGTTTTCCGCCTCCTCGGGCCCGTTCTCCTCCGTGTCGCGTTCACCTTCTTCCGTGCAGTCAGCTGGTCCTTTAGACTGCACCGAAGCTCTTGAGCCGCTGATCGACGTCGCCGAGTCGACGAGCTCGCGCGGAACGCCCGAGGATCCACCAACGCTCGTCGCGCACGCGTCCAGCAACTCCTCGATCGACTCGCGGAGTAAGCCAGAATCCGCGCATGCGGCATGGTGTCGCGTGGCTTCCATGTGGTTCCAGCTGTTGGAGCACAACCAACGAAATGCTGCTCGAAGTCGCGCCACGGAAACTTGCAAGTCAGGATGATGCCAGATACCGTCAGCGCGGCTTCCCACGAACTGGACGATCAGAGTGTGCGCCAGGGCCATCGGCGACAGACCGATGGCAGTCAGAGCCGCGTCGGGGCTCTGCGGGTACGCAACAACGTTCTTCTGGTGATAGCGCGGCGCCTCGTCGGCACTCGTCCTGGCGAAAGACGCCCTGTCCATCAACACGCGCTTCACGCTGACGTACACCCTCGCCAGGTTGATCACCTTGCACTCGGTGTACGTTAAGTTCGTCAGCTCTTCCGGGTCAGGACCACGCCACATGCCATTCGCGAGAGCCTCGCGGGGCATGCGTACGCGCGGGCGGCACCGCCCGCGGCTGTCTGTGTGCGTGTTCGACAATGCTTCGGCGCACTCCTTGCACATGCTCACGCGAAGATCTCCGCCGCTGCCCTCGGGCGCATCCGTGCATACTGCGGACTTGTACAATGCCCACCGATGATTCGGATCACCTGGGGTGCGCACAAGACAACATGACAACATTCCCGGCCAACGTGGGCACGGGGGCCGAGCACGCCAGACAGCAGGAGCACGGCAGACGACTATAGCACGCAATCCACGGCAGCAGACACGATCACGGCACAGCAACACAGCACGAGTGGGCATAAGAGCACGTCAGACCACAGGAGCAGGAGCAGGAGCACCGGAGCACGGCAGACCACAGGAGCACCACGACAACAGAAGCTGGGACAACGAGAGAGAGCGCCACCTGGAGAGACAACGGAGTGCTCCCGCATGTCTCTCCTCAGATTGTCTTCCCAACGGCGCACGCGGTCGACCCAGTTCTTTGCGTCCTCCACCTTCGTGAACCCGAGCTCGTGCGGCTCCCGCGGCTGCACGCCTCCACGCTCTCTCGCGCTTCCTGGGCTCGCTCAGACACCTTGAAAAACTTTTTCAAGTACTGTTCAATGCTGAGGAGCTTGTCGACCTGCTCGTACCACGCCTCCTTGTTCTCATTCCAAAACTCTTCGGACCACGATAACCACTCCGGGCACTTGTCGCTGCTCGACGATGGGATGTGAACTCGATTCAAGTCGCACTTGGGCGTCTTTCGACAGCAGACGGCACAGGCATCATGGACGCAGCGTTCGTCCGTCTGCGCATTCTTGTACTGCGCCACACAAAACCTGCCCACCTGCGGACTGACCGCGTCCAGGCCCTCTGCGCGCGCCCGTTCGAGCACTGACCTCCGGTACGTCTGGAGAATGTCTTCGCCGTCTCGTTGATGGAGATCAAGCCTGCACTCCTCGAGCAGATGCCGTCGCTTGTCGTCGTCGTCGGAGCCACCCCACGGTTGTTTGCAGAAGCGGCAATGGTTCGGGTCCAGGTACTCGGGCGTCTCCGCGTACTTCGGCAAGGACCCGGGCTCGGGCTTTGCCAGAGCGAGGAGTACCTGCAAAGCGGGTGCGGATCGGGCGACGTCGTCGTCGAGCCTCTGCGGTCGCGGCTCGTCGGCGAGGAACTTCCTGCTCTCGTCACGGACGAGGTCTGCCAGCCTCTCCCCCCCGAAGCATTTCCGGCAAAAGTGCTGATATACCCTGGAGGTCTGGGCTGGTTTGACACAGCATCCGATGCACTTGGAGCCAGCTGCCTTCCAGCGCACGTCGCACAGCGCCGCGCTCTTCTTGAAATGCGACGAGCACACAGAGCAGCTCCTCACGACTTTGGCGCAGCTCTCTGTTCCGCATTCGATCATGGACACCTGCAGCGGTTCCTTGGTGGCGGAGTCCTCGGTCCTGTAACAGAATGCGCACTCGGAGGAATCCCAATGTGTTTTACACAGGCCCGCCGCCCGCTGCTCTGGTGTTGTGCACTGAGGACACCACAAAGCGAGGTTGTCGCACATCTCGCACTGCGGGGTCTCCAGCGACGCCGGCGGCACAGCGTGGCAGACGGCGCACGAGCGCGCAGCGAAACAGGCCTTGCAAGCTCGCCGATATATCACTTCAGTTCGACTTCGCATCCGACCGGTGTGCACGCAGCACCGACCGTCCTGGGCCCAGCACGACTGGCACTTCGCTTTCGATTGCCCGTTAGACATGCCAGAACACGCGCTACAGAACACCACTGATGCGTCGCAAGATTCGTTGCTACACTTCGACCGAGTCAAGGAGCCAGCAGGAGTCAGCGCAGCGCAGTGCGAACAAGGGACCGAAGATGTAAAGCACTCGGAGCACAGCTTGAGATTGCGTTCCTCAGGCGAAGTGTGCGTCGGACACGCCATAGCACATCTTTTTCCCGCGGCCTGCGGGTGCTTCTCGCGTGACTCGCAGGCCACGCACAGCGTTGGTTCGTCTTCCTCGTTGCACCAGGTACACTCAGGGCAGCTGCGAGACCGATAACACGGCTTACACATGCCTCCGCTGAGCTCGCGCTGCGCACCGCAGAATCGACAACATCCCTTTCTCTTCTCCTGCTTCTGGCGGTACAGAGTAGGATGCTTCTCCTTGTAGCAAGACTTGCAGTAACCGTCATAACCGGACTGAGCCTTCGGGGGCTGCTCACCACGACGGGTCTTGTGATACCCTTTGCAATACTTGATCGTCTTAGCAGCACGCGCTCGACAAACAAGAGACCCACATAAAATCATATAGAACGCCAGTCGGAGCATGCCGAAAATAAACATCGGTAAGAATCGCCCCGAGATCACCTACTAGAAAGTTGGATCTCACAGGGCTAATAGAAGCACCTCCACCGCGCACACCCTGCCGCAGCTTTGCAACCACATTGAGCCCAATACAACATGTGCCAACAACATAGAGCACGTGAGAGAGCGACTTTAATCGTCGAGGGCTATCAAGAGCACCCACGGCATTGCGCACTGGAAAAAAATGAAGGCGCGCTCCTGTGCTCTGCTATACTCCTGGCGTTGCCGTGCTGATGGACCGTGTTGGTCTGGTGTGCTCCTGTGATACGCGGCGCCCCTGCGACCTGCACTGATCCTGAATGCTTTGCCGTGCTCCTGTGTGTTCTGCCGTGTTCCTGTGTGGCCTGCCGTGCTCTTGTGTGGTCTGCCGTGCTCCTGTTGGTCAGCCGTGCTCTTCTGTGGTCTGCCGTGCTCCTGTGGGTTCCGCCGTGCTCCTGTGGCGTCTGCCGTGCTCCTGTGTGGTCTGCCGTGCTCCTTTGTGGTCTGCCGTGCTCCTGTGTGGTCTGCCGTGCTCCTGTGTGGCCTGCCGTGCTCTTGTGTGGTCTGCCGTGCTCCGGTTGGTCTGCCCGTGCTCTTCTGTGGTCTGCCGTGATCCTATGGGGTCTGCCGTTGTTCGGCCGTCTTGAGGGCACTCTGAGGGCATAGTCTGCCGTGCTCCTCGTCTTGGTCTGCCGTGCTCCTCGTCTTGGTCATCCTTTCCGTCGTCTTGAGGGCGCTCTTGGTGCCTGGTCTGCCGTGCTCCTCGTCTTGGTCTGCCGTGCTCCTCTCGGTTCCTAAGACTGGTCTGCCGTGCTCCTCGTCTTGGTCTGCCGTGCTCCTCTCGGTTCCTACGCGCGGTCTGCCGTGCTCCTGTGGGGAGCACGGCAGACCTGTGTGGAGCACGGCAGACCACACAGGAGCACGGCAGACCACACCTCGATTTTTTGAGGATGTCTCGAGCGAAATGGCCGTTGTCTGCCGTGCTCCACACAGGAGCACGGCAGACCACCTGCTCATTTTCTGAGGACGTCCCGAGCGAAAACGTCATTTTTAACATAAGAGGTTCTAAAACACCTCTGTCGGCATCTCATTTTTTCGAGGATGTCTCGAGCGAAACGCTCATTTTTCATGCATAACAAAAATTTTTGATATTTTTCAACATCCCGATTGTTTGAGGATGTCTCGAGCGAAACCGTCATTTTTAAAAAAAGACTTCTTAAACGATAGCCTCCAACACATCGATTTTTCGAGGGTGTCTCGAGCGAAATGGCCATTTTGGGGAACCTGACCGGACAAGAACGGGAAGCGCCGTTTTTTATCCACCACGTGCGTCAGAGACCGTATTGGCGAGAACGTCAGAGAAACCCATAAACGCAACAGAACAGACTAAATGGTGGCCTGCCGCGCTGGTCTGTCGAGGTAGTCTGCTGCCCTGGCCACATCATGGTGTCGACACCGTGCTTTTCTCTCGGCCACGCGGGCCCCCACCCGGTGTCGCCCAGCCTACTTTTTCTGTTCCAGCCTGTCTTGTCTTTTGTTTGTCCGTCGTCGTCGTCGCGTGCCTTTCCTTTGTCGTGGTCGTCGTTTTCATTATAATCGTCCGCTGTTGCCGTTCTCGCTGTCGCCGTCGTTATCATTTTATGATTGCGGTCGTTTTTCTGATTGTTTTTGTTGTTGTTGGATTCCGTGTTCGGTTGGTTTTTGTGTTATGTTTGTGGTCGTTTTCTGTCATCGTTTTTTTGTCGTAATTTTCGAGATCGTTATTGACGAAGACGACGACGACGACGATGACGACGACGACGATCTGCCGTGCTTCTGTGGCGTCTGCGGTGCTCCTGTGGTCTGCCGTGCTCCTTCTTGGTTTGCCGTGCTCCTGTGTGGTCTGCCGTGCTCCTGTGCGGTATTCCGTGCTCCTGTGGTCTGCCGTGCTCCTTTGGGGTCTGCCGTGCTCCTGTGGAGTTTGCCGTGCGAACGTGTGGTCTGCCGTGCTCCTGTGTGGTCTGGCGTGCTCCTGTATGGTCTGCCGTGCTCTTGTGTGGTTTGCCGTGCTCCTGTGTGGTCTGCCGTGCTCCCGTGGGTTCTGCCGTGTCCTGTGTGGTCTGCCGTGCTCCTGTGTGGTCTGCCGTGCTCCTGTGTGGTCTGCCGTGCTCCTTCTTGGTCTGCCGTGCTCATGTGCGGTCTGCCGTGCTCCTGTGCGGTCTGCCGTGCGAACGTGTGGACTGCCGTGCTCATTTGGGGTCTGCCTTGCTCCTTTTTGGTTTGCCGCGCTCCTGTGTGGTCTGCCGTGCTCCTGTGTGGTCAGCAGACCCAGGGCTGAGGGAAGGCTGGAGCAGTGCTCTGGTGGTCCTTCACCCGCCCAGCTCCGTCCCCTCCCACTCTGGACCGATCTTGCGGGAAGCTGGCTTGTGCAGCGCATCGCGCGTCGGCCGCCAGCCCAGGTGCCGGCCCGGGCGTTCGGTTCGAGCGCCGGCCTGGGTGCCGGAATCGGCCCGGAAGGGGTTTCCAGGGCGCCGGGAGCAGAAAATCAATATTTTCGAAAGAAAAATATGTCTTGGAGTGGCCTTTTTTCCGCACCGCCTCGGAATTCAATTTTCCGGCGCCGGCCGGCGCCGGAACCGGCCCGGGCGCTGGCACGGGTGCTGGCCCAGGCGTTCGGCTCGAGCGCCGGCCCGGGTGCCGGAAGCGGCCCGGAAGGGGTCCCGGGCGCCGGGAGCAGAAAATCAACACTTTCGAAAGAAAAATATGTCTTGGAGTGGCCTTTTTTCGGCACCGCCTCGGAATTCAATTTTCCGGCGCCGGCCGGCGCCGGAACCGGCCCGGGCGCTGGCCAGGGTGCTGGCCCGGGCGTTTGGCTCGAGCGCCGGCCCGGGTGCCAGAAGCGGCCCGGAAGGGGTTCCCGGGCGCCGGGAGCAGAAAATCAATATTGTCGAAAGAAAAATGTGTCTTGGAGTGGCCTTTTTTCGGCACCGCCTCGGAATTCAATTTTCCGGCGCCGGCCGGCGCCGGAACCGGCCCGGGCGCTGGCCCGGGGGCCGGCCCGGGCGTTTGGCTCGAGCGCCGGCCCGGGTGCCGGAATCGGCCCGGAAGGGGTTCCAGGGCGCCGGGAGGAGAAAATCAATATTTTCGAAAGAAAAATATCTCTTGGAGTGGCCTTTTTTCGGCACCGCCTCGGAATTCAATTTTCCGGCGCCGGCCGTGTTCCTGCGCGGTCTGCCGTGCTCCTGTGGCGTCTGCCGTGCTCCTGTGTGGTCTGCCGTGCTCCTGTGGTCTGCCGTGCTCATTTGGGGTTTCCCGCGAGCTTGGGGGGTCTGCCGTGCTCCTGTGGGGGAAACGCCAGCGGCGTTCGGGGTACAACAAAAGGCGCGTTTATGTTGTACCTGCGCGCGGTCTGCCGTGCTCCTGTGGGGATGGCCGTGCTCCTGTGTGGTCTGCCGTGCTCCTGTGTGGTTTGCCGTGCTCCTGTGGTCTGCCGTGCTCCTTTGTGGTTTGCCGTGCTCCTGTGGGGTCTGCCGTGCTCCTGTGGGGTCTGCCGTGCTCCTGTGAGGTCTGCGGTGCTCTTGTGTGGTCTGCAGTGTTTCTGTGATCTGCCGTGCTCATTTGGGAACTGCCGTGCTCGTGTGGTGTCTGCCGTGCTCCTGCGGGATCTGCTGCTCCTGTGGGTTCCGCCGTGCTCCTGTGGCGTCTGCCGTGCTCCTGTGGCGTCTGCCGGGCTCCTGTGTGGTCTGCCGTGCTCCTTTGTGGTCTGCCGTGCTCCTGTGGAGTCTGCCGTGTTCCTGTGTGGTCTGCCGTGCTCTTGTGGTCTGCCGTGCTCATTTGGGATTTGCCGTGCTCATGTGGGGTCTGCCGTACTCCTGTGTGGTCTGCCGTGCTCCGGTGGTCTGCCGTGCTCCTTTGGGGTCTGCCTTGCTACTGTGGGGTCTGCCTTGCTACTGTGTGGTCTGCCGTGCTCCTGTGGTTCGCCTTGCTCCTGTGTGGTCTGCCGTGCTCCTTTTGGGTCTGCTCTGCCGTGCTCCTGTGGGGTCTGCCGTGCTCCTGTGGGGTCTGCCGTGCTCTTGTGTGGTCTGCCGTGCTCTTATGTGGTCTGCCGTGCTCCTTTGTGGTCTGACGTGCTCCTGTGTGGTCTGCCGTGCTCCTGTGTGGCCTGCCGTGCTCTTGTGTGGTCTGCCGTGTTCCTGTTGGTCTGCCGTGCTCTTCTGTGGTCTGCCGTGTTCCTATGGGGTCTGCCGTTGTTCGGC